CACATGGGGAGGACAAGTATGTCGTCATATTTGGTGGTCTCCACATTGAAATGGCCATGTGGAATACAGTTGGAGACTACCTGGAGGAATCAGGTTGGACCACTGCATCAACACAGGCAGGCATTGCCTCCTCAGGCACAGCAGATTCATTTCATCGCAGCTCCCAGCTCACCAGAACAAGGCAAGCAACACCAAATTTGTGCTTCGGCCTTGGCCAAGCTCCAGCAGGATGCCTTCTCTTGCACGGAGCAGCCCCACACAAATGAAGCCAAAGAGGTTTGGAGACAAGACATTAGCAGCAAGAGCCCAACATTCCAGTACTGGCACACAATTCTCAGCCTAGAGCTTCTGGGTCTCATCTTCATCAGAGCTCACCGTGAAGCAAACTTCCAAATGTATGTGAAATCACTTTTATCCCCTTCATTTTGCCGATCTGCCTGGCTATAAGGGTGATCTAGGCATTCACTAATTAAAACGAAATAATGCATGAGCTGTAATTAGTAAATAATGGACGGGAAAGACAAGAGCTGCTCCAGCCAATAAGGTCCTAGCGTGAGATCCCTGAGGCAAGGGTGGCTCCCTCATGTCATCCACCCACACCCCATCACCCACACCTCATCACCTTCCACCCACGCCTACCTCACTTCCACCCACAACTACCTCACCTACACCCACACTCCCTCACCTCCACCCACAACTACCTCACCTCCACCCACAACTACCTCACCTCCACCCACACGCCCTAACCTCCACCCACACGCCCTCCTCACCTAGCATGGTATATACATTTTTACATCCACTGCTGGATGAAGGGCATCTGCCCACGCCATCTCACTGCGTCGGTCATGTGGGTTGTTTTAATCAGTTGATATATCAGTCCCCACTGATGTTAGCCGTGGCCCATGTCACTTAGCTCATAGCGCAGTGCGCTAACCACTGCGCGAAAACCACTTTGCAATAGGGTACTTGTTGACAGCAAGTAATACTTTACAGGCCTTTGTCAATCCACTGCTGGATGATGGCTACACCCCACGCCGTGTCACGGGCGTTGTTGGATTGGAGGTGAAACCTTCACCTACCCATGTGTATACAATTATAATAATTTAGATTTACGAGGCGCCCTTAACCAATGGATTTCAAAGTAATTCGCCAAATGTGAAGCTAATATTTTTGAACAGTAGTGGATTATTTGTCTTTATTTTAAGTTGAGACTCCGCTGACCGATTGGCGATGATCAATCAAGGGGACCGGGGAGTTGGTTCCACTTACATTTTCAACTTTTTGGTGACAAATAAAATACCGTGCTGCCACCTTCTGGCGGTGGTGGAATAAACCACGACACGCCAAGTGTATCCATCATAACCACATCAGCAATGATCCATCGATCTGTCGTCCGCTGCTGCATATCTCCGCCTTTCTTCAGAGTCTCACGATGCAACAATTGACGCAGCGCCCGCTGCGAGCTAGCAATGATCCATCGCTCCATCTCCGCGGGATGGAGGGCCTCGTCCTTTGGCACCCAACTCAAACGAGTGCCTCCTCGCACACCATCCGCAATTCCTTCGAAGCGACGTGTCAAGCCCAAAGCCCTCGTTACTTCTCTTAGCATTCAAAAGTTATTCTAACGCGTAGGATCTCCCGCCGCCAGTAATATGATCCGCAATTGATGTTTGGGTTTAAGGGCCACATCATCATCATCGTCGTCGTCGGACCACAATGTTGTGTCGTGAACACCCTCCGCCACCCCACGTAAGCCAAATCAATAAAATTGTCACGCGTACAAGCGTTTAACGAGCCAAATGTACAATTGTTTCAGCCATTTATAATCAGCCGGAATGCGCCCGATCCCGCCAGACCTCGGAAACGGTGCTGGGCTGAGCCTCGATAGATGGCAGCTCCACACACCTGCATAGGGGTCGTCCATAAATGACGTCACGCGATTTTGGACGATTTTTTTAACCCCCCCCCCCCCTTCGTCACATGGCGTCACAAAAAGTCAGACCCCCCCCCCTCAAATATAATATGACGTCACAAAGCTCTGCTTTAAACTATTGTCATTGTAGTGCGTATTTAATGTGGCGCTGCACTCTGATGTTGTAGGAGAAAACATTTATTAAAAAGTCTATTTAATTAAGTAGAACGTGTCTATATTTATTTAAAGTTGTGCATTTTGATGTGACGTCACATTTCTCAAACCCCCCCCCCCCCCTCTCGTCACACATCGTCACAAATTTCTGACCCCCCCCAGGTGCGTGACGTCATTTATGGACGGCCCCATAGCAGGCGTCATAGGCTACAGGGCTGTGTTGTGGACAGCAGAGGGGTGGCCAGCAAACGCCGTTGTCTGGCTGTACATTGATGCTCACACATCGATAGTGCCCAGCACTGACCAGCGTGGTGAGGTATGGTCAAATAACCTCCCCCCTCCATGACCCGCAATGGCATAAAGAGGTCTACATCCAGCAGCACATACACACAGAGCTGTACGATTTTTTTTGTGGGATGTAAATTAAGTAATATCTTATTGCGCAAAATAATCTGCTAATTAAAAGGATTCGTTGATTGTGAGAACATCATAGTTTCCCTGGCTGCCACAGATAATAAAATGAAGAGATTTCCTGGATAAGAGGATTACGGATAAGACGCTTCACTCGAGTTGCATCCTCCTCTTAATCTTGGTTACAGACCTTGGCAAGTTAACCGTGTTGAGGACATTGGATGTGTGCTGCATGTCATCTCTTGCTCAAATGGGCCTACGAATTCGTTTTATATATATACAATTGGATTAAAGAAACAACACGGGGAATGAACACGTTAGGTTACGAGGTGCTTGTGACGCAGCCTTCGTCTGCGCCATTTAAGGTTACCACACACTTTTGACTTTCGCGCATAATTGTGGCAGCGAAGTATATATGAAGCCAAAGTCAAGTGTCTCTTGCTCTGCATCTCCCACATAATAAACAATCATTTTGCAGCTGCGCTCCTTATCCATGCCTTCAAACCGATTCGACTCAACGACTTCAACTATTTCCTCTATACTTGACTTGAAATGCAGTTTATAGGGGTTTATTTGTAGATTATATATAATTTTCATTTTTCACAAATGGTTACATATTAATCGAGCTACCCAATCAAGATTTGTTAAACTTAACAGTTAAGACAATTCGCTTTCAACATGTACAACAAACACACGTGGGCAATTAAAACAATATTTATAAAATCTGAAAAAAGGCTTCGTTGGTGTCAAATGATGAGTTTATTTTGCGTTGTGTTTTTTGTGTGCGATCTTATTTTGTATTGTCACAATATAATATAAGTAGTGACGTATATGTGGATAAGAGAAGCAGGTGCATTAAAGCAAAGCACATTAGCTGATGCACACACAGCACTTTTGAAACCGACTTGTTATTCAACACCCTTTGAAAGTGCACACACACAACAGAGCGCAAATGAATGATGCACCTTGAATTTACAGATGCCCAATAACCTTTCACATTTAATTGTATTTTAACCACTGCAACAAATACACTTTATGGCCATAAGAATATCCACAGCAAAACACACAATGCTGAGCATGCAGAATTTTAGAAGACAAGCGATGTAGATAAAACTCGTCATGTAACCTGTCCTTCATAATTAGCTGTTTTCATCTGATAATTATATAATGCCATACATTTCAACACTAATAAATAAGTGATCCTTCTATAACTGGATACGACAGGATATTTTTATTTTTTAACCCATATTGTCTGATTTTAAGACAAAGTTACTTTAAAAGCACTTTCTCATTACATTGTATGACAGGTTCAAGTTGAATAATGATGTTAAAATATTGTCACAGTCATCCTAGATCATACAACGTACCAATTGTAGTCTTATAAAAGAGAGTAATGTTATTAATCTTTCTATGTGCACCTAAGATGCTAAATTAACCATTATACCATTGTCACAAAATACTATTATATTGCGTCCATGTGATTACAATTACGGGATAATTTGGATCTATGAAGCTACGACCCAGTAAATAGTCAAAGTTGGGCCAACGTTGGCATGTGGTTCGAACCGTTGGATCAACGGTGGTCCAATGTTTTTACAACATTCCATGTTTACTGGGTAAATATGACGTGGTCTTTATATTGTACGCATGTTTTCCCAGGAAAGCCTCACTGAGTCTCGACTTCTCAGGAGGGTCTTGCTACGTTTTTGCACTAGGAGGCGACAATTGCTATGCGTTTCCCCGTGAAGTAATTTTGCGAGTAATTTTAAACATTTGTAAAAGATGGCCCACGACGCCAGCAAACAATGAACCAATTATTGTTCGATTGACGTCACGGGAACTTCAACATCCACTGTGACTCAGACGGAACATATTTTACCCGCGGTAACTGCAAAGATCTGCAACAATCAACGAACGCGTCACTGCTGTTCTAAATAGAGGGATCGTGATTTGAATACTGGGGATCAGTAAAAGGAAGAGAGTGATTCTATTGAACAAGAAATGTCAATTCGGGGGGCTTAAAGAGAAGACATATCCCATATTTATCACGCAAACTCCAGTCATCCTCGCAGTGGCTTTTGGCTCGCCATCGAACAAAGACGTGCTTTTGCGTGCGTCTTGAACGCTCTTTCCTCCGATATTCGGAAGCCACTGGAGCTATGCACTTTTAAATCTTGTGGATTGAAAACTAATTTCTATAGAACTGCTTTATGTGTTTAGTTTGGTGTCCGATTAGCACGGTTGGCTACGTACGATGCCAAAGAAGTTCCACATATCATTGGACCTCCTTTGCCAGTACCAAAATATAACAATAGGGGTTTTCCCCTTTTTTCTGGCAACAAAATTGAAACCTTTTTACAAGGATTCATGTCTGCTTTAACCACAATACCTGCAGTCAAAATGCAAACAAAAAACATACTATGATAATATATGCATTGTCCTTGAAACTGATTGGTCCACACCAAGGGACGGCTTTCTTTTGAGCCTCGACCCAATTGGTGCTCGACCAGATGACGCCAAAAGGCGTACAGCTCAAAGACAATGCACTATCAAAGTAATGAGGGCTCGGGGTGAGCATCTACATCATTAGACCTCCCTATTATTAAGTTCCACATACATGAGTAATGTATCGCGCACTCGTATTCATAAATGTACTTCCAAGCTTTCGTTAAATAGTTCCTACATGAAGTTCTGGAATAAAAAGTAATTTTAAATGCGGCGGAACTCTTTCACAATGTTATATTGAGATATGGTCACAGGTAATTTGTTGATAGAACATTTACGAAGCTCCCACAAAATCTATAAGAGCCATATTCCACACTAGCCCAACATACCTGTTTGTTGCCTTTCGTTTATATGCAATGAAGAAGGGCCATTGCCCAAAACGTCGCCTATTTTTTTTCCTTTTAATGCCGCAGTGTTATTTGTGAATATGGAGTTTTCATTGTTGTTGTTGTTGTTTCCTTTGTTTATTTTAACTGCATGCTACCTGTGATGCAGCACGGACAGCACTCTAGAGTTGCTAAACAGTAGCAGGCAACAAGGGGATCGTGAACAACACATCCCTCTGCGTGGTTGTAATACCACAAAGCACAGTTGCAATTCGGTATTTTTAATGCCAAAATTATTTGAACATTCTCTGGATACTATAGATAATATAGTTATCACATTAAGAGAATGATGGATTGAGTTCCAGTAGAACTCCAAAAATGTGTCTTCCAATTAACCACAAAACCTAAACATCACAGCGCCTCTGCAGTTCACAGGAACTCCTGTAATTCACGGGGGAGACAATCATAAAATATGTGAGTTTTCATCGAGGATTTTTGGAGTTCTACTGCTGCATTATTCTATATATATTCATCTTTAAGATGTTAAGATCAATACAACACCATGAACAATACCACCATTTCGAAATGCATATTAGGCTCTGCATGTTAAGAGCTATGAGGACTTATCACATATAGCAATTAAATACGTTTTTATAATCAACATTAAACAACCGGCTGTATACAGTTGAAGATGTGTTGGAACCTGAACCAAACCAAAACCCCTACCCAGCACGGTCAAGTCACATCCCAACGAAACACGTGGCCCTATCCCTCTGTATGTTAAGACGAGTGTGGTGATACGTGTGGTCGTAATCCACCAACCCACACTGTGTTGGTGGATTGTACCGAGATCATTTGTATGGCGTGCCCAAAGCAAGGACACTGAGTTGCCTGTAAGAGGCGATACAGCAAGTAGGATTCCAACTTATCTTTGCAGACTTTGAATTTTGGTCACCTATGCGTGGATTTTTCTTGTGGGCATTCTGATTTCCCCCCCCCCACCCCCACAAACAAAAATGCAGTTTAAACAAAAATCGTTCTCGCTACGTAGTTACGTATTGTACGAATTAGCCGAGTGTGAACCAGCACTGCGAGAACTATACATCTGAAAGCAATTCGCAATAATTGAAAATGTGGCACCATTGTATTACTGTATTTCATACCTGAAAAAGATCTACTGCTTAAGTGTATGAGCAGCAGACAGCGTTGGGGTGTTTGCTTGAAACTTGGGCAGGTAGAGGCCAAACTTGCTTTCAATGCCAGCGAAGGTGACGTTAGCCAACCGATATCCGCCAATGTGATTTGGATCAGGTGGAGGAAGGTTCGAAATCCGTGACTTGGGTGTGGGTTCAGAGCCCACTGGCTTGCTGCAAATGGGGAAAGTGGCACGTAAAAAGTCATTAAGCGAACGCTGTATGGAGGGTGCATGTAAATCAACGAAGCGTTTAGTTGGTCTAGAGTATGTGATTGTAATTGTGGGTCCATTCAAAGCATGAATCTGTCATGACAATCATTAAAAAAAAACTGTCTCATAAATATTATGATCAGGTACCAACATTTTCATAATTAAAAGTGGCACGTGAAAAGGCATGCAACGAATGCTGTACGAAGGGTGCATATAAATCAACAAAGTATTTAGTTGGTCTAGAGTGTGTGATTATATTGGTGGGTCCATTCAAAGCATTATTCTGTCATCACAATCATTAAAAACGCGCCTTGTGAATGGGTACCAATATTTTCATGATGAAAATGCAATTACAGCACATGGCAACCAAAAAATGGTGGCATTGACTTAAGCGTAACTGTTTTGGGGGATTATAAAAATAAATAAACCTCAAGGACACACAACATGCATGTATGTATAAACTTAGTCAACCGTAATGTCGTGATTTACATATCGTTTACTTACATTCCTCCAAAGTCAACGTACAACCATCTCTGCAGCAGCTCATATGAAACGAGGGTTACACCAAATTGAGGTGATGATCGAAACACACGTGCTAAGCAGGAGGGAAACACACTTGGTTAACAGAAATATTTTTCATCGTTAAAGTCTCAATTTTTCAAAGAAATGCAGGGCAGTGCTTACGTATCTCTGTTGGTAGCTTTGAGGCAGGAGTGCAACTGCAAGAGTCCTATGGATGGTGTCAGTCCCTCCTTAGAACAATCACTGTCAACTTCCCTACAAAGTAGCATATATTTTATATATCCCAAATGAATCATGGGCTATGCCGATGATATGAATTAAGCTACTGCCAATGTTTGAATCGTGTATTCTAACCAAAAGGTGATTCGGTCAGATGTTTTAATGCTCATTATCATTTTCAACAATGAGATCAATCCACTGCTGGATGAAGGCCACCCCAAGCATTTGCCAATTCATGATTTTGCAATTTTTCACAGGTAAGCGACACTGGCTACAATTGCAATTAGCCCATGAGCTGATTTATTTGCTCCATCTTTGGCTGCATACTGTCATTATACTTGATCATTGGCCATCAACCTTTATAATGAAGTGTTCTGCCCAATCACACTTAGTTTTTTTTTAACAAGTTTCAATGTTGTATTTCAGCCACGTATGTTCTCTTATCCATGTTTTCCTCTTTATCTCTCATTAAAATTCCAAGCAACTCTCCATGTTTTTTTCATTCTTTGTCCATGTTTTATGACCATCTTTCTAAGCTTTATGTCACAGAAGGTAATATGCACGAATTAAAACAGTTTACTCATGAGGCAAATTGTTTTGTTACTTTTCATTGTCAAGTTCATCTTCCGAAAAATGTTCCAACCTTCTCTTGGCTGCCTCTGTTTCATCAGTTTGACTCCAGTCTGCCTTCAATCTCTGTCCTGGGTTATGCATGTGTTTTCCAGTTACTGTCCCTCTCAAGAAACATCTCCAGTTGTTTAGCGAATTTGTTTGGCATGAGCATCGTTTTGCTCGTCGTTATCATAATCCCAACATTGTAGCCTTCTTTATAAAGTTTGAACATTTCCTGCAGTTTATTTCCATTGGATATGATAATGACTGTTATTGGGAAATCTGAGATGGTTGTTATTTTCTACGTTAATATTTAAGCTTTTGTTTCTGCAATTAACTTTTTGGAAAATATGTTCGCATGTCGCTGTAAATTTATTTGGTGAAAGTGCGTCACCTTGTCTGACTCCCCTTCTGAAATCTCTTTTGGTACTCCAAGTCATTCTTTGTGTAGCTGTTCCATTTTTGTTAAGTTTTTGTGCTTTTTTAAAATATATATTTTCTATCCCTTGGCTTGTTAGGCCTTGGCTTGTTAGAGCTTGGATGACGGCATAAATTTCTACTGAGTTAAATGCTTTTTTACAATCTGCAAAGGCTAGGCACAATGGTTATTGATCGTCATTGGTCTTTTCCAGAATCTAATGCCTGGTATTTTACTTTGAGATAATACAATGCTTTCGAGTATATATTGAAAACAAATATTTGTTTTCTGAATAAAGAGCTGAAACTTATTTTTGCTTAGACTATTTAATTAGCTTAATTATACAAAGACATCAGCACATTATAGACACACTACTGTTTTAGGAGAGTAGACCCCTTAATATCATCCATCTGATTATTTTGGCATATTGCTAAAATCGACGAAAAGTAAAACACTCATACAATGAAGCATATGGTAATAAGTGAAAAGGCTCGTGGTGGTGATGATTACAATGGTGACTTATTGATGCATGGTAGGATTACCTCCAGCTCCCTTCCATAATGCGCGCCAGCCCTCCTCGTGCAAGATCTTACGGAAGCAGTCGAAGACGCCATTGTAGGTTGTCTGTCCAGCCCGTGCCGCCACTTGTAGCCGTGTCTTGATCACATCGGCTGGAGTGACTAGGGATGCCGCTGGCATTCCTACATTCCAAAGTACAACCATGCCAAAACTGGGGACCCGGCGTTAAGCTTTACTGATGTTTTGTGTTATCTGTTCACAACCAAGACCGCTTATTCTATAACTACTCACATTTAAACTGACCACTAAGTGAATACTCTTTGCCTTAATTTATAATCTGTTACTGCGTCATCTTTCCTGATATAATGAAAGTAAAAGTATATACATTTGTAATGTTCATTTTGAATAAAGGTGTCATGCCCTCATACATAAAATAACAGGTAATTTTAAAATGTTGACGGATTTTTAAAAAAATATACTGTTATTGAGAGAAAAGGAAGATCTCAACGTTTTGGCTGACTAGCTCTCGGGAAACATGAAAATCTGCAGAGATTAATAATGCATTATTATCGATAATGCATTATTGATCCTACAGCACCTATTAAGCAAGCTCAGCGACTAAGTATATGTATGATGCTCCGTAGAGTTCAATATTTTCTAAAGAAGGCGAGTCTGCCGAACCGTCGAGATATTTAATCTCAGTGAAATTTTAAATTCGCCTTACCACCCCATTCTAAGAAAACAAACATTTGAAATCTATAAAAGAAACCCCCTGTGTCAAAGCTCGATTGGTTTATTTAAGTGGTAAATATGATTTACATTAAACTCCCACATTCCATGTGTTCACTGCATTATGTGGATATCAACTTTTCTTTTTCAGAAATTCCTTTTTTGTTTATTTTATTATGATTATCATTATTTTTACTCTTATAGTATCTGCTGTGGAAGCACCTGCAATGGCTCCGGCAGTAAGGAGCTGGAGAGGACCAACTCGCCCGTCCTTGTCAGCCAGCATCTTTTTGGTGTGTGCATAAGTGGGGAAGTAGATGGCTGAGAATGGGATGTCTCGTAAGAAGCAGGCTTTGGCACCCTGCGAGTGAGGGATTCCACAAAAGTGCAACGTTAACACAGGATCCACCAAATACTGGACATTTTGACTAGTGTGTCATAAATAAATGTATTTTTTTTACCCGTGTAGAAACTCAGATTTTTAAGTGAAAAACGAACACAGTACTCTCTAAATTTGTTTTAAATAGCATTGGAATAAAACAAGGTATTGTTTAAGTGGCACAAACATTGCTATTTTAAACACCATAGAGCAGGAAGATGGATCAAGGATCAATTGGTTTCCTAGCAATTATGACAATTTATGGACAAGAGGCGTCACCTCGCCAATCGATGTAAAATATTATTTTTTAGTTTGTTATATTACTGTACTTTGAATATGGAAAAAAGATGTTAGTTATATTAATACATTATTGATTTTGCAGGTAAGAATACATTCAGGGCAATAATCTTAAAATCATAATTTGTTCATCGTATTTAACATGACTCGTGTGTGTATATATATAGTGTTCAATACAATACAATTAGAATACTATTTATATTTCCATAGCATATAAATGTGACCATATATTCAGGTGCTGTACAGAAAGTGAACGTTTATATTATATAAACACTGAATCATCGGATTGTGCAGGAAGTCGACAGTATGGATCGCTCAGGGAAGGGAGTTGCAGACAATGGGGCCAGCAGAGGAGAATGATTGACCTCCCACTGAGCGAAGGTTGACTAGGGGCTTCAATAGAAAACCTTGGTTGCTGGAGTGGAGAATGTGCAGAGGGGAGTAGAGTGAGATAAGAGGAGAGAAGCAGGCAAGAGCAAATCCATGGAGAATTTTGATGAGTGTGATATTGATTTGTGGAATGGATTAGGAGATAATGGATGGATCGGAGCATTTATGTGATCTTGTAACGTTTACAGGTGAGGGAGACGTCTGGCAGAGGCAGTTTGGGTTATTCGCATTTTGGAGATGAGGGAATTGGGGAGGCTGTAGAGGAGATAATTGCAATAGCCTCATCAGGATGTAATGAAGTCATGGATGACAATTTCCGCAGCAGCAGGGGTAAGGAGATGGTGAATGCAGTAGATGCTGCGCAGCATTTAAATATGTGGGAACAATTAGATCAGTGACAACTCCAAGGCTTCGCACAATCTTCGCTCGTGCAATGCAAATGTTTAGGAGGCACTCACTTAAAGTGGAGTATTTTCTGGAAGTAAGGAAGACTAATGAGTACAGTACTGTTTTGGCAACGTTTAGATGTTTAGGCAACGGTGACAAATGTGAAGCGAGGATGTGAAGTGGACAGAGAGGTTGGGTTCACGGTGGAAACGGCAATGCAGAGCTGGGTGTCATCAATATAAACATAATGATCAGGATTATGAGCAAAGATGATTTTGCCAGAGAGAAGTTACGTTGAAAAAAAAAACAGGGAGCCAAGGAGAGAGCCTTGTGGGTAACACGGCGGTGGAAAACAGACCTCGTATGGGGGAGTGCAGAATGCACAGTCCGAGAGGTAGGAGTAGAACCATGAGGGATTTGTGCTGGAGATGGCTCATAGTTACATAGATTCTCAGGGGAGATGGATTGATCGTTGGTGTCAAAAACAACAGAGAGGTATAGCAGAACTCGGAGTGGCAGTGATCCATCGGCTCAAGAGAGAGAAGACTGCCGTTTACCCTACGTAGAACAGTGACAAAAAATAAATTCTTAGTATGTTCACCCATAGTAGCATACACTAGAGATGTCTGCTATGTTTATTCGACATATGAACATATCTACCGAGCACAACTATATAAAAAAAATACACAGATTAGGCGTTAATGATTCAGGGACATGCCAGTACAGTGTAGGTGGAGGCGGTTCCTGACCTTATAGAGGCCTAGGAATCCGAGGTCTCGCATCACAGTGAGCGCGCTGACTCGGGGACCAGTGGTGATCTCTCCTGCCACCTGTAGTCGGATCTTGACAATCTCCAGGGGATTGGTGAATATGACCTGAGAGCCCCCAGCCTGCAGGATCATCACAGGAAATGACATGAACATTACATCGCCAGTCTGTGTAATGTTCAACTTGCGTGGGCCACCAACTAGTGGGCAGCGCTGCCAGATTGTGTGATTTTGTGATATCTCTTTTTGAAGCCGATGTGTTTATGTCTTGCAGAAAACCAACTAAGAAAACTGTGTACTATTGCTTGGGCTGTTCAGTGGTTTGGGCACAATTGCATCTGTATGTGCGTATGTTGAACTTCTTGAGCACCGTGGGTAGCCAACCGTGCTCATCGCAAGGTGCGGGGGAAGGACGACAAACTTAACACAAAAAGTAGTTCTAAAAGTAGACTTGTATACAGCAATCTCTGTGCACAAACTTACACATGCTCCAGATAATATTTCTGCAAATCCGTGAATGGATCCATCACGCTTGGTGAACTTGTCACGTACTAAGTCATTTACCTGCACAAAAATAATGGTCTTGTTATTCAATTATCATCCTCGTTTAATTTGTATCCACATTGTGTCAATATATTTTAAAGGAAACCACAACTCACTGTGCATTCAGCATTTTACTACATTTCTGTGAAGTGGTTTGCAAGCAATCTATTTTTTTAATGTATAACAATTAAATAAATAAAAAGCATAAGTGGTGAGTAGATTCATAGTTGTTAAATGATGTACATACAGTGAGTTTTATGGCTTTTTCTGGAGCCACACCGATAAGCTGAGGGAGAAGTCCTGTATAGAAAACGGTAGGAAATAAACAGATAACCTATTGATATAAGAACATCATCAGTGTGTGAGCACAAGCGTTGTGATCATTTGAACATCGTAATCTCTTATGCTGCTGTCATGAGAAAGATCTATGCAATACATTTCAGTGCTTGTTACTGAAATGGCAATATCTTTGGTTGGCTATAGTTTGAAACTAAGGCATACTGTATATTCCTAAAAAAAATCAGCTCCACTGGTGTTTTGAGGAAAAAATATAGTTTCTGAAAATAATGTTAATCTTTATGCATTGTTTTTTTATTCCTAAGTGATGAGAGCCTCTGCCACGTTATCAGACTTGAATCAGGATCTTTATTTATCCTGCAAAAATCCAATAATATATGAAGTTCTTTTTCACAGATTTCCAGTAGGGGCGGGTCAGAAAGTTACATCAACAACAAGAGTAAAACTACGTACACTAAATTTTGATTTAAAGCTTTCGTGACTGCAGTAATTCATATTCTTAGCTCTTTCGGTAAAGTCACGTTGAAGGGAAACAATAAAATAATAAATATATATAAAACAATTAAATTCTCACGACGTTTCGACTATAACACAAACGGTCATCATCAGGTGTGAAAACCAACGGCTACTCATTCGTATTCACTTCACACCTTCCCAGTTCGGCAAAACGAAAATGTCAAATGCTGACAGTTTGTGTTATTTTATTTGAAGGTTAAACTGCTAAATGTTTGCTGCATATATATAAAAAAATACACCCCTTAACTAAATCAAGGGGACGCCACCACCTTCAGGAATCAAAAGTGACCAAATGCGAAGTTGTTTATCATTTTCTTTCGCCTTGTGGGTTGCATCTGAACTTGTCCCGCGGAGTGCTTACCCCTGTAGAGACCGATTATCCCCTCGTAGCGCACCACCTTCTTGAAGCAGTCGAAGCTGTTTTTGTACATCAGCTCACCGATGAGCGACGAGCGTTGGTTTTGCATGCGCGTCTTTACCAGGTCGATGGGGTACACTGCAGTGGCACCCAGTGCTGAAAAGATTTAGAGGCAGAGCGAAGGAATATCACTCACGAATCTATTGATGATTACCCATTAGCTTGGGTAGTATAGTGAACCGATCCCATACATTTTCTTTAGATGCCTAAGCACTTAAACCGCAATTGCACCCACCCATTATGATCGAGTGTGAGTCAATTAAGATACCAGGAGACATTGATTTACTTATCTGTTTTATCACTACCCGCACCTTTTTTTACCACTGAGACATACCTCATGTCCATGTTGCTATATTGTCTGTGATGCTTTGTGTGCCACAGTCTCTGCGGTTTTATTTTAGCTCGACCAAACAAGGAGGGACGTCAGCTGACATTTGTGTGGTGTGACTTGTACTCTATAGCAGGCAGACGGCACCAACTCTAGAGCAGTGTAATCTGCCTGCTGTTGATGATCAATGATGGCATCACACACACACACACGTCTAAAGGATTATGTTGTTATGCACGCTACCAGATTGGAACATTACAATTATAAAACAAAACTTACAAGGATTTTTTTAATCCCACTTTCTAATTGGTGTTTCTGTGTATAATGATGTATAGAGATTGATCATAAGTCAAATTAGGCCCATTGTGATTGTTGGCTTTTTAAGACCAACATTTTTGGTTATACTTACGTTGTTTGCGCATATACTTACACAATACATACACAATCAAAAGGTGTTAATAAATTGTTAATTGTTATGTTTCTCTCACTTGTTGAAGAAAACACTATGAAGCAGAAATGTATTGCAATGTCGGAAGAGATTCGCCTTAACTGGAAAATGTACATTTGTGTTTCACTGCATGCATTGTAATGTGTCTCGTAATTTGTGGTGTTGCACTCTGCTGTTTGTTATGAATAAATCTGAAGCACTGTTAATAGCACTATGTGTAGTGTACAGTGCTATTGTGTAATTGTGGATACGTTTTGACTTAAAGTACTTACCTCCTAAACTTTGACTTACCTCCTGCAACAGCGCCCAGCATGAACCTGTAGGCCGATTCTCCGACTTGCAAAAGAATGGGTCGGCTCAAGTCCCCACCAAGTTGCTGGCAATATAAGGTTGAGATGGGTCAACTAAAGTGGTTACTTCTCCAATATGCCATGTAGATATTGCACATCTAAATCACATTTTTAAAAAGTTACAATTTACACATTGTCAGCATATCCTGAAGGGTGGTAAAGTTTAGAGGAAAAACATGACTAACTTCGCACTGAATATGTTTTAAATGTCTTCCTCGTGCCGCCACTATGCTGGTTTCCATCTTTACCACTCACAACATCACCGGTATATTAACTCACTTTGCATTTAAGTAGATGTTGATTAAAGTGAAAATAATGCACATAATTGTGGTGGCGCCAGGAATGGATTTGGGAAATCCCTGCTGTATTTTAATTGGGTATGTTTTTTAAATATATATGTGCTGCTCGTAAATAATAACACATTTATATTAATTTGCATTAAAAGCTTTCGTGACTGTGGGGATTCATATTCTTGGTTCTTTCGGTAAAGTCACGTAGAAGGGAAACAATGAAATAATAAAAATATTATAATAAAAATATTATTTTTTGATTTAAAGCTTTCGTGAATGCAGTGATTCATATTCTTGCTTCTTTCGGTAAAGTCACGTTGAAGGGAAACAATAAAATATATATAAACATTATTTATTGTTTCCCTTCAACGTGACTTTACCGAAAGAACCAGGAATATTTATATTAATGTTAAGTGTATTTAAATATGCAATCTAGTTTATCGACAAAAATAATTTATATCTAAAAATAAAAAAAACAGTTTGATGAAAAGTGAAAAATGTTTTCAATAATTAATGCTTCAGTCCAACTCGACTAAGTAATTTTTTTTTAATAAATACTTTTATTGGATTTTATTTTATAGATGCTTCTGTCATCAATTAACAATAAATATGTAATATTTGCATATTTGCAAATTAAAATTATTTTGAGTTCAGATTAACTTCTGGGTGTAGTTATTGCAGTAATTAAATTACCTCAAACACTTTCGCGGATTACACCTAAGTTTGGATTTTAATGTAAATACAACCAAAAAGTTCAACACTAATTACGTTTAATTTCAAAGGGGGCTATTCAGTTCCTGTAAACAAATGCATGGCAAAGAAAAAAACCTGGTCCTAGGCGTATGATGATTTGAAATATTTTCCGAGAAAATGCGAAGAAAAATACTCAGTGTTGTTAATATTTTCCTTTGAAATCACTTGAGCAAGTTCTGACCTTGCTGCATTGGGGTAAATGCGATTGTGTAATTCAATAGCCTCATTACACGGTGTACCATCAACCGTGACAAGAACATCAAGGGGCTAATGTGCGCATCTCCTTCATAGATGGAAAATTAAAGACAAGCCACAAGATTGTGGGCATTTATTTTTTTGTGGCCATGCAACCCAATATCTGGACCATGGAGTAAACGACTGTAGTCTATGCTCCTTCAACGGAGAAGAACTAGCAACACAAACCCTCTCCTGAAGCCATCTCGTGGCAGGCAGGCAGGCCTCGCCATTGGCCACACGCAATAATAAGAATGTCCTCATGATCGGGTGCACGTGACGCCACACCTGCCGTTGTTTCTCAGCAAGGTGGTAGGGCAGCGCTCCCTCCTCGAGAGGGGCAATCCGTTCAATATCGATCAGAGACAATCGCCTGCACGCGGACACGGCAACATGCAGCCACGACACGTTGCAATACCCTACTTGTAAAACAAACAAACACATTCTGATTGGTTTTAAAAGAGAAACTATTTATAATAAAACCACTATAGCTTTTTTAATGAAACATCTCTTCCAGATCTTTCAAAACGAATTCACATCATGATCTATGCCCTATGTATTATTTACAGGAGTGTCAAACTGGCCACAAGCGATCAGTTATGAATGTGTGGTATTTGTTCACGGTTAACACGTTGTAACTGGATGTCAAATTGTGTATTCCTGCCTGCAGGGCATACTACTTAGTTAAAGTCTACAAGACACGATGGAATACAATTCTTTTTATCACTGAGCATTTCTCTTGAACACATCCTGAAATTCCTAAGTCAGGGTAATGAAAATGGAGTACTGTACTTGGAATTTCTGTTTCAATGCTTACCTCAACATTAACATGTTTTGCCTAGAATAAAACAGTACGCTGAAACAGTATGTACGAAGCTTGCATGAAAAACTGCGAAGAAAAAAAGCCGTATTTGCACAACTGTGAATATTGAAAATATAAACTCACCCTCTGCGCTCATGCAAATCAGCAAGATGGAACAAAATGTCCACTTCAATCGGTGTAATCTGCCCAAACCGCTGTGCTGCAAGCATGAACTCCTCTGAAATGGGGACATAAACAATCCATTATAGTACATCATCTCATTTGGTTACTCGTTCGAGTTGCCAAATCTTTGGTGTATAAAAACAAATTGTCAGAATTTAGGGCTTTAAAATGCTCTCATTAAGCCTCATTTATGACATAAATCCACGATGCATTTTATTTGTGAATATTTTTTATGGTTTCCTTTAGCACCGTGAGCCATTTAGTTATCCTTATTTGGCTGGTTTGACAATTCGGTGAGAGGTTCACTAAAGAAAAGTGTCGTGGAAGATTCGCGCAACAGCAATTGCTTTCTGCATGCCATCCTCCCACATGTTTTGGTATGATTTAATCTAGTTGTAAACATTCACAACTATGCAAATACAACACGCTAAACTCTATAATTTTGTAAACATTCACAACTAAACAAATAAAACACGTTAAACTTTATAATGGGGTGCACAGCATTAAAAAAAAAAGATTATTCTATCATTTCTAAACTTGGATATATGTATACAGTATGACATTTAAAACCGAAATGCGGATTTCTGAGATCATCTTCTTGTTCATAATGTCTTTTCTGAAGCTTATACCACGCACTACTGCAGGCATCTTCAGGAATTAAGGAATTTAAGATGCCTACAATAGTGTGTGGCAAAATCAGTGCACAGCCCAACTTGTAAAACCGTACTTGGACATCATTATAGTTAACCAACCTTTTGCCCGTCCAAGGACGGGTGTATTGCGGTAAATCTGAAACTTGCAAGCGAAAATCAGACCGCGACGTGATATATTTATTGCATCAATGCGTGTGCAGTTTGTAATGCCGCGGTGACACAGACTTATTTAATTTTAAGGTTATAATCCCTTGTTCATCATGACGTCCTTTTTACTTTGATGTCTCAACAACAGCGTTACGTAGATCACGTGATGTCGTGAGGGTTGTCAGTTGACGCCGAGGAGGGGGGAGGAGGCGCCTCGCCCCCCCCCCCCATGTGGAGTGACGTCACCCGCTAATTATTATTAATGAAGGGGGGTGTCCATTTGGAGGACGTCACCTTATAATGATTATTAATGAGGGGGGCTGTTCGATGTGGAGTGACATCACCTGTTCATAATTATTAATGAGGGGGGCTGGCCGACGTGGAGTGACGTCACGCACGGGACACACAGACATTCTTGGCTCATTATAGTACTAAATAAGAACTGTGGAAGTCACTGTCACACATCCATCTCAACCCACATTCCTTCTACTGATAAATCCACAGCCCCTCCCCATGCGTAAGCAAACCTTTTGTAACTTCCACGTCAATGCGAGAGCCTGCCAATGTGCTGTATATCTTCTGAACCAGCTCCATGTTGTTGAGTAGGGAATTGAAGGCGTTGAAGAAAGCAAAGCTCACTCTGTGAGCTTTTAAGCCTCCAACAGCCTGGCAGAAGGCAGCAAAGTACATACATACACTCAATTAATGTATCAACATTAGGTCAAATTCAAGTGTCCTCATAGTCAAATGATCATTGTGTGGTACTCATCTCCATTGAAATTCCTGAGTGGGTAGAGAAATTGTTAAATTCCTTTTGCTGAGACCACTACTTTATCTTGTGAATATCTAAATGAGTTAAGCAACTGTATTTGTCAGTTATTCTGTCACGGTATTTAATAACGGGTTATTATATATTGCCACCGAGCGGAAATAAAGATTTCATTATTTTGGCAGACTGGTCTTCTTCAGGAAATATTGAGGTTTACAGATAATCTCCATCCTGATAGTGAAGTGTGATGGTGGGTACTTTTAGATGATTAATTCATTCGGGTGCAAGGTGTCATCAGCATTTGATTATCTTTTTAATGCATTCTTGAAGTTAATATGCAGCTTTTACGACTGCAGTGTAATGAGATTTTTTTGTGGTTTGGATAATTTGGCAAAATGTGATATATTAAACCTGTTGTACTGAATAGTACAGTGAATGTGACAATACCTTTTTAAGAACAAAGGACTGCACACAATGTCCTACTTTCTTTCATGTTTAATGATGCTGTATAGAATGCTAACTGCTAGAGTTTGTTATTGTTGTTGTACCAAATTTGTGAACACATACATGGGTCATTAAACAATACATATCCCACATGTGTCACCCACAGCATGCTTTTATCATACACACATGCATAGCCTAGGACTTGACACAAAACCTGCATGTATATGTAAATACATAAACTACGCAGGTGGTTATCAGAGGTCAAGTCTTGCGTTAAGGCCAAGATGATTTTTGGTTGCGAGCCTCAAAACGAGCCTGGCCTCTCGACATGCCTTGCCTCTGCCTGCTCGCGACAGACGAAGTCACATAACAGGGCCACGTGTGCTCCTGCCACAGAGGCTGTGAACCGTGTATATCAAATGTCCAGTCACTGGTTTAGTGAGGCCAGCACTGCCCAGCACCTTCTCGGATGTTCCCTGAAGTATGGCCAAACACGCCCCATTAGCCACACGGCATGGGGAGGCCCTGCTCAAACAATGGATTGACACATACGCTTTCAATGTGGAAATTTCTCTCTCGGGTGGTGGGGGGGGGGGGGGGTGCAGCATTCGGTGGGATTTTGTGTATCGATCAAGAATTGATTTAAATTTAAAATAGAAGTGTATGTGTGTATTGAACGTCTTTCACACCGTACGTAGCCAACCGTGCTAATCGGAGGTGCGTGGGAAGGACAACAAATGTTAATCATCCGACAAAACTAATTATGTACAGGTTGTGAACTGATGATGTTTTATATGTGGTGGTAGATACTGTGTACGTCTAAAGGGTGTTATGCTAAGTGTACACATTTGAGAGAACTGACAGCAACGAGGTTTTCCTCCACGAAGGATGTGAGCATGTGTGGCCGAATGGTGACCATGATATCCCGGAAGTCCAGAGCAGCGATGGTGCCTGATTTGTCGGTGTCCTTGACAGAAAAGGCCTGGCGTGCATGCTCCAGCTGCAACTCCTGCCAAGGCGCATATGGCACAGCCGCGAGTAACATAATACGAGCATGACACATCAAAGGCCTAAATCTTGTGTTGCCAGTAAAAGTATTTTCTAAATATTGGAACTAAAATGGACAATTTGGCAAGTGTACTTTTGTCAACAGCATGCGAATGAAATATTTCACGTAATGTGTAATTATTGCAATTTATGAAAATGTATTATAAATTATTATGTTTCATATCAAATTGTCTACCAATATCAGATTTGAAAATAGAACAAAGTGTGGACTAAATTTTAATAATGGATACGAATAGAAATACACGTTTCTTATTAATACTGTTTCGTCAAAATATAATGGGCAAAACACTTAATGAGATCATATTATTCTAATATAAAGAATTAAATGAAACATCATACCTGTAAAAATTGTGTGAACTCATCATAATTCATACTTTTCTTATGGCTGCTGCCAAAGTGCAGCTGGATAAATTCACATTCCCAATTAAATGGGATATGCTGGTGGATGGTGGTCTGGCTAAAGATTTCCTTGACATTTTCTGATCATAAAAACCACACAAACACTACATTTTAGCATACGTGGATTCAGACTTTTCAGCAATCATAAACATGCTTTTAAATAAACACATTTGCATCTATAATTTCCAAATTTTGGTAACCCAATAGTAATGTTATAGTTACTATCAAAACACATTGGTAAACATAACGTATACACTGTAACTCGTTATCCCCAGGATACACTGTAGTTTAGCCCTCTCTTCCTCTCGCTCCTCAACATCCACACCTACAATTAGCATGGTTGGCTACAAATGGTGTGAAAGAAGTTCAACATACATACAGCATCATCAGCCGTAATCAATCCACTACTGTAATCCATCTATGTAAGTATGTTGAACTTCTTTCGCATCGTACGTAGCCAACCGTGTTAATCGGAGGTTCGGGCAAAGGGCAACAAACTAAACACAAAAACAGTTCTCACGATTCCACTATGCAACAATCCACCTAGCTCCTGCAAAACGATCTAATTTTAACCACTCCATCTCTGCAGCAGATGTCTCTTCAGACATGTTCCCTCCTTTACCTAACATTCCATGGTGAGTCTCATCCGCTGGCTATCAGGCTATCATCATCGCGCCTCGCGACGTCTCCTGCCCAAGCCAACTTTATTGACAGTCAAAGTTACGTCTTAAACCTCAATATGTTCTCCAATAGATGTGTCCCTCTTTCTCTCTCTCTGTCTAATTGCAAGCATGTATTTATCCATGCTACAGCTTTTATTATATATTCTCCCTCAGTGTACATTTTTCTGATCCTTATCTCGTAATCGATTATAGACTTTCTGCTTTAGACACAAAGGCATTTAGCTTCGGAAGATCAAGTTCAGATTCCATAATCACTCCAACCCATTCTCATCTGTGTCTTGATTTCATCGTTTTGAATGCAGATCTCATGGAATGAAATGGGAGCATGAAAGCAGCAAAAAACGAGGTTGACGATTAGCAATTCACAAATAGTAGCCCTTTGGGAGAAAGATGGGACCATAACTCATGGTATAGAATAAATATAAGTGGAGGAATGTTATGCAGATATCACACATGTCGCACTTGAATAAGTAAACTATGCCCTTCGCAGTATGAAAGAGGGAAAAACTCATGGACCACGTGGTATAACTGCCTTAACTCCTCTGCAGCCTCGACAGTCTGGAACTCCATTCCCCCAGCCATCATTGCTGTTATTCCTTGTCCCTGTTAAGTTCAGGCTCAGGGCCTCCATTTTTTCCCTCTGCCTATGACTGCCTATCTCCCTCAATCAAATACATATTCAACTGTTACTGTGCAGTGTCTTGAGATGCGGTCACATTTAGATGCTAGAGAGATATATATCCAAAATTGTATTTCATTGACCCTCAATTAAAATGTCATTTACTTCAATATCAAACTCACTGGCCATACGAGCAATCACCAATATAACAAAACATTACTATGTATATATAAATTAGAATCATTAATATTTCTTATTTATAGTAATTGAAGAGCACATCCACCGCAAGACACAGGCCCAAGACGTCACATTCATATTCTTTGGTTCTTTCGGTAAAGTCACGTTGGTGAAAAAATAATAAAATAAAAATAACATAAAAAAATACGTGACTTTACCGAAAGAGCCAAAGAATATGGATCCTTGCAGTCACGAAAGCTTCAAATGTAGAACGTCACATTCAGTTGTTAGAGTGCCCGTAGACCCTGTAAATCTCACCAAATGTAACTTGTCCATGTCCAGACCTATCGAACAACTGGAAGGCTACAATGAACATTGCGTCTGGTGCACAAAGCACCGACTCAAATGCCACAAATTCTTGGAAGGAGATCAACCTGGAAGAAACGATTGAGACATATCAATTGTTTACTCTAATCATAAACTAGATTCCAATCGCTTTCTCCGTAATGATATTCATATGTTCAACCATAATAGACATTATTAGGAATGGAATACCTAAGATGATTATATTAATTGTGGGAGGAATTAAAGGTTTCAAGATTGGTTGCTGGCGTCGAAACGTCTGGTAATGAAATGATTAAGGTTGATGAAGTATTTTTTGCCAAGATCTTTTCTTATTTCTAAAATTTAGATATTAAGCATAGCTGAAGCAAACACTCCAATCATCGTAGATCACTATTGACAACCCCATAGATATACTGTCCTGTAATATAAGCAAATACTAAGTGTAGTAAGCCATCCTTGATTATTCGACCTCTTAATGAGATCTAGATTAGACAATGTCTACCTGTTTTTTCTTCACATAATGATAAGTGGATTACACATTTGTAGAAGGATTAGTAAACCTAGCATTGCATCGGGAGGTTTCCAGTCTATATACAAATTTAAGCCGTATTGTTCTAGATTGCCACTGGATTATTAAAGGAACAGACCCCCAAATGTCTGGTATGCAAATATTCATACCAACGGAAATACGACTGATTCCTGAGGGAAGAGGATAGTCACATGAGAGATGACAAGGGAAATAATAACATTAATAAAACAGAGAAGATCGCACAAAGGTGATACAAATATGAGTGAGAAGGTTGCATTTTCCTTTGAGTACCATTGACTTTACTTGAGGTTTTTCGTATGAGGAGCAAGCTGAGAAGCAGTGAGGTTCAGTATCGGGGCAGATACAGCTTAGGGGCTTTGCAAGTTGTGTACTGGGAGAGAGTGTCTGCACATGTAGTCAAAGCTGTAGAATAGGCTAAGATGCATTATCAGAATGGAGTTAAGATACAATGAGGCAGACTGTGATGAAAATCGTGGCAAGGGTCTCTTAACATGAAAAAAGTTGTACAGCGTCGTTATCGTTCGGAGAAATGCAAGTGACACTGGCTTCACTGCTACAGAGTGTCTCTGTTGCTAAATAATTGTTGGAACACTGGCTGGGAATAGGGACGAAACATCCAGATCTAATGCTTATGCAAGCAGAAATGTATCGTTAATTTATCATGCACAGTGTGCTGTGTGTGCAGGACACTTCAGAACCAAACAAAAATGTGTAAAATTCTATAAATACCAAATACATATATCTCATGCGTTAGAGTAGCACACATAACCCCCGATATTGTTTTTCATAGCTGTTACCTCCGTTGCCTCGATTTACTTTGCGGTGCATTATTGTTTGAACGAACAAGCGCTGTGGCCAATTGAATCTGGAACATAGCAGGGTCTCCCTGTGTTATAATCCATCCTCTCATTTACACAAATGTTTAAGATGTACTATCAATAGCTTTACCAATGCACAGAGGAGGTTTGACCTGTGGAGTTATCGTTTTAAATTATTGTAGATGTAACGTGACTTTTGTGGCCTTTTTCTAAAAATATCACATTGGGTGGTGCACCGCCTACCGCCTACATTTCATGCTGTAGACACAGTGCCAGAGGGCAACCTTTGCTATGGACGATAATGAGATATAGTCTGGGAGCATGGGCACCAGAATGGACACCTGCTACGACTTTGGCTGCTCACCATCTTTGCATTTCATAGGTTAGATACCTAACGTGAATTCATAGGGCGCCCTTTTTGATCACGTGCACCTCACCCTAATTGTGCGTGTTTGATATGACATTTATCACGTTTTTTTAGTCGTGTAAAAAACATTTTTTATTTCATTAAAGGAGCACCAGATGCAGCTCTCAGCAACAGTGTTCTGATGGCAAGATAAATACATTTTAAAAGGAATTAAGTTAGTTAATAAGGCTCCATCCATTTAGTACGTACACATGGAGGGGGGTTAATCCAAATGTGTACGCTTGCGTATGGGGAGGGAGGGGTCTACTGACAATGTACGTACGCAGGAGAACGGGGGGGGGGGGGGTGAAGCCTAGATAATTATTTGTCTACATTGGCCTTCAAATGAGTTAGATTGTCTGGCGGTGGACTGTTTGCTTAAACGCGTTAATATTATTAATCCTTGATCGTTTCTACGTGGATTAAATATCGGCCGCTCTATAGGATTCGGGGGGGGGGGTGCGTCAAGCGTACGTACTCAGGTGGGGGTGTAAAAAGTCCGCGTGCGTACAGGGAGGAGGGGAGGGGTCAAGTTTTGACAGATTTTTGCGTTACGTCCTAAATGGATGGCCCCTAAGTCTCTCACGAAAAACACTCTCGAAGCTGGACGAATTGAGTGGAGAGCCTTTCCGGTTATACACAATTTGACATCCACAATTTGACATCCAGTTACAAAAGCCTCTATACAGGAACCACATCATTCAAAGAAGAGCACTTACCCATCCTTGTTATGGTCTGCTACACCAGCCAAAAACTTGATCCAAGAAGGATTGGCAGTTGCCTCTGTGCTCATGCTCAGAAATCTCTGCACAAAGTCAGCTGGGCTCATGTAATATTCCCCATTCCTATTCTGGCTTGCAAACTCCACACGACAATGTGAGCATATTACATGAAAAATGTATAAATGACAATACATTTTCGGATAATGAAGGGTACACGTTTACGAGTAAAGTATACACAGTGAATACTACATTGGAGACGGAAAATATCTATTGAAAGGTTCATATACAGTATTACCTTGTAACCTATTAAAAGTAAAACAATATTGCCAAACAAATCTAATAACTGTCTTTATTTGGCAATAGTAATCAAACGACTGTGACTTAGAATTATTGGGGATTCAAAGACTTTCAATTGAATAATGGATAGTCCTGTACTGTAATGACATGTACCAGCATAAACATTTTATATTAATAATTGTCATATTACTCAAAAAGTGTGGATGATTTTTGCTTACACCACCTTTAAAATGTGAAAATTACACCTGTAGTATTTAGGATACATTGATGTTCAAACACATTGCTCCGTATCGTTGAATACTGAAAGATATATTTTTCTGCATGCCATCTACTGCCCACACCTATTTAAGCATGGTGGTCACCCAACTAAGCACTATCCAGGCACAATGCTGCTTAGCTTTTGATGCCCGCTGGGATCATATGCATTTCAAGTGATTTAGTTTTAGACATATGCTGTATATACGTTAATGTAGCTTTTAAAACTACCCATTAAAAAAACATTAAGTTAACATACATTATGGAAACTACGATATATACACAAACTATATAAACGTGGAATTTCCACATCATGGTTAGACATGAAAAGCCATACAATCGTTTAAGACTTGTGTATTGCTTTGTCATCACTTGACTTAATACATGCATTTGATTAAGCCATATGGGATATAAACCCCAATGTGTTTCTGTATTAGCTATTAAGAATGAACTTACCTTTAAAAACACATCCTTTAACTCCGCAGGATCAGCCCGTTTTGTAATTTGCACCTGCACAATTAAAAGACGATAACACAGGAACTGGATAGTACACGCGTTATTGACTTCAAATTGACAACTTTGTATCGTTACAGTGTGGAAACGTGAACCCACTTATTTTATATATTTTGTTATATCTTGCAATCAGATTTGTGAACAAAAAAATCTGTTGTGGGCATTGCAGCATGGCATGCGCTTTAAGTATGTAGTGTATTGAACTCAGACCGCTAGGTAGACACGTACTAATTCACTGTTTAAAAGTTAATTAGCACAGGATTGCCTCGTTACCCTCTGGTCACAAGTTGTGCCCGCGGTATTTTAGACGTTCCATGTACATAATTACCTCTTAGCATGAAAGGGTATAATTTCTCCTCTGGCTTCCTGATTTCTCGTGTATTGTTTTTTTTATCAGTCAGGACTTATTTTTTCCCTTTTCATAAAAATAACCTTCAAATTCGTGAGCTTTACAGCCTGTGCTCATTGGCCAAAGTATAGTGTCCTTTATAAAGAAACAGTTGATATATTTTTTAAAACTTGAAGACAATCAGGCGTACATTTGTTCAATGTTGGTGTTAATCCGCTCATTGTTTAATGTCCCACATTCCGATAGAAAATACTGTGTCCAATTATACTTTCATTTGAACGCCACACTTGCAATACAATTCGAACATGGGTGGTTTTAATGGCATGTGGACACATTTGCAGTGGTATCAAAATGATGAACCCTGATGTCCTGACCATCACATAGATGCTGTGATCCGACACTCACCAGAAATCCACAGGGCACTGCATAACATGCGTAGTCACCACCATGAGAGGTGAGGGGCCATGCTCCCATGCCATACTCTGTAAGTCATTTACCTCAAAACCCACTGACAGATGTAAAAAGGTACAATGTTGGCTTTATCTCCAATTTAACAGACTGTTACAATTTTTTATTGCAAACATTACACTACTTATGCTATTACATTCTACACAATGCATTACATAACACAACATGCGCATTGGCATTAACATGCAAGCTTCAAGACACTTGACGAACAGTGCAACTTTTTTGCAACGATCTCTAAAGTCACGTGGACTTATGTTTAAAATTTGATCGTCTTCATTCAACGTAAAAAAAAATTCAATGGTCACGCGTAACATCTGCGTGATATTCTGGAATGAGATCGGAGGATTTCTTGTCAGTGAACATGACTTCCGCGAAAATAACAGCTTATGTGTGGTGTTATAGGAATATAACGGTCTTAAGACAAAGCAAGACCCACGAAAAACACACATTTTATTGTCTGCAAATACTTACATTTAAACGAGTAGGCTCAGTAAGCTTTCTAGCCTCTGCCAAGATCTCATACCTGCTTCGCGTGAGCTTAATGTCCTGGACATCTCAGTATATACAAAATAGTTTTCAAGCCTTTGCCACACAAAAGCCTCACTCTTCATGATCATGACTACATACGGACCCGAACTTCGGACGAACGGCCAATTCGAGTAGTTTTGCATTTGGAAGGACACCAGAAGCAGCCATGTGGGAATACCGGAGCTCTTAGCACACTCTGTAAAGGTCAGCCACCTACTTTCTGTAACGCAAACGACGGTGACTTTATGCGATCCAAAGTCATCACCGTCGCAACGATTATCATCTGAACGTGGAGTGCAAAGTTGCCAGCGGATATGGTAAAGTCGCGTGTGCAAAGTTGCCAGCGTTCGCGAAATTCGCATGCGACAAGGTGAATTAAATCCCAGGGACAATCACGGCTCGCTCATAGATACAACAACCCACACACACACACCCCATGCGAACTCGGGCACGAATTCACCTGTCACAAGCATTGACAGCAACAACAGGATGTTTGTTGGGTGTTAATTCTTTTTTTTTATTTCGCGATGCTCAGCCATCAATCACGCGCGTGTCAACCGTGCGTTAAGTGTTAAACGTAAACCACACGGCGCTGTGTGTAAGGGAACAAAAAAAACACAATCAGCCACAAACGGCAAACTCAACAACAACAACTAGCGACAGCCAGATGGCGTTTACGCTTCACAGCTGTGAGGTTAAACTCCTCAGGGCTGCGCTTGATGAAAGAGCCACCACCACCACCGCCCGTTAGAGGAGAACAAGCAGCAGTAGAAGCAAGCAGAGTCTCATGCACCCGAGGGCCCCGGCCCACGGCCTCGTACCATGACGGCGAGGACGAACGACACGGACACACGCGGCCGAGGCGCTGGTCAGACGAGAGACGAGAGCGGAGGCTAGACACGAGAGCGGAGTCCAGGGCAAGAGAATCGAGAGACTAGGGCAAGAGATGGGAGCGGGCTGGCTGGCTGGCTGGGAGAGAGGAGGAGGGGGGAGAGAAACGGAGCAGAACGCGGAGCAAACTGCGCGAGACGACGGTGATGATGATGAGGAGGATCGGAGGATCTAAAGCAGCCGCGAGTCGACCCGGGCAGAGGCGCAGATCGGCGTTTGACGGAGACCGCCGTGGAGCGCCTTCGCAGCACGGACGGGATAGAGCAGGGCGAGAGCGATAGACCGGGAAGGCCCGGCGTGGATGGCGATGACTGCGGGTCGCAGGCTGGGGACGAGGAGGAGGAGGCCCAGGCGCAGGCGCCGCGATGTCTCCGCCGGAACGAAGTGGCGTCCACGTCGCGGGCGTGACCTTGAGCAGGCGCGACGCGGTTGGCTGACGCAGAGTCACGTGGTGGCTCAACAGCTGATGTGGAGCGCACGTGGAGCACGCGTGGCGCGCTCACGGCTCGCGCCGAGCTCACAGCTGATGTGGAGCCCACAGCTGATGTGGAGCTGACAGCTGATGTGGAGCGTGGAGCTCACAGCTGATGTGGAGCTGACAGCTGATGTGGAGCGTGGAGCTCACAGCTGATGTGGAGCCCACAGCTGATGTGGAGCGTGGAGCTCACAGCTGATGTGGAGCCCACAGCTGATGTGGAGCGTGGAGCTCACAGCTGACGTGGAGCGTGGAGCTCACAGCTGATGTGGAGCTCACAGCTGATGTGGAGCGTGGAGCTCACAGCTGATGTGGAGCCCACAGCTGATGTGGAGCGTGGAGCTCACAGCTGATGTGGAGCCCACAGCTGATGTGGAGCGTGGAGCTAACAGCTGACGTGGAGCGTGGAGCTCACAGCTGATGTGGAGCTCACAGCTGATGTGGAGCGTGGAGCTCACAGCTGACGTGGAGCGTGGAGCTCACAGCTGATGTGGAGCTCACAGCTGATGTCGAGCGTGGAGCTCACAGCTGATGTGGAGCGTGGAGCTCACAGCTGACGTGGAGCTCATAGCTGATGTGGAGCGCACGTGGAGCTCACAGCTGACGTGGAGCTCACAGCTGATGTGGAGCGTGGAGCTCACAGCTGATGTGGAGCGTGGAGCTCACAGCTGACGTGGAGCTCATAGCTGATGTGGAGCGCACGTGGAGCTCACAGCTGACGTGGAGCGTGGAGCTCACAGCTGATGTGGAACTCACAGCTGATGTGGAGCGTGGAGCTCACAGCTGATGTGGAGCGTGGAGCTCACAGCTGACGTGGAGCTCACAGCTGATGTGGAGCGTGGAGCTCACAGCTGACGTGGAGCTCATAGCTGATGTGGAGCGCACATGGAGCACGCATCACGCGCTCAGCCCGCGAGAAGCTCACGGCCTGCGTGGAGCTCACAGCGCGCATGGAGCTCACAGCCCGTGTGGAGCACACAGCTGAAGTGGAGCTCAGAGCCCGTGTGGAGCTCACGGCCGATGTGGAGCACACGTGGAACTCACAGCCCGTGTTTAGCCTCCCAGCCTGTGTGAAGCTCACAGCCGGCGTGGAGCTCTCACTTGGCGTGGGGCTCACGGTCGGCGTGGAGCTCACAGCCGGGTGGAGCACACGTGGAACTCACAGCCCGTGTTGAGCTCCCGGCCCGTGTCGAGCTCCCGGTCCGTGTCGAGTTCGCGGCCGGCGTCGAGCTCGCGGCCGGCGTGGAGCTCGTGGCCGGCGTGGAGCTCGTGGCCGGCGTCGAGCTGGACGCCGGCGTGGAGCTCGCGGCCGGCGTGGAGCTCGCGGCTGGCGTCGAGCTGGACGCCGGCGTGGAGCTCGCGGCCGGCGTGGAGCTCGTGGCCGGCGTCGAGCTGGACGCCGGCGTGGAGCTCGCGGCCGGCGTGGAGCTCGCGGCCAGCGTCGAGCTGGACGCCGGCGTGGAGCTCGCGGCCGGCGTGGAGCTGGACGCCGGCCGCGAGCTCCACGCCGGCCGCAAGCTGGACGCCGGCGTGGAGCTCGCGGCCGGCGTCCAGCTCACGAAGGCTGCTGTCTCGTTCCATGCAGCTTAAGCTTTGCTCTCGCTGACCTGGCAGCGCTGTGGACTCTTCTCGCTGTGACCACTGGGTCACTGAGCAATGGAAAACTCTCTGATAGCCAGACACTACCAGTAGTGGACACGTGTTCACGTGAGCAGCAATTATGTAGAAAAAAAGAGTCGACGCGGCAGACGTCGACATAACCACTTGTGATGAGGTGACCAATGGTTCATAGGCAGAAATTGGAACCACCGAAGGTACATGCTTAGTAGTATCGATTTATTTGTACGGTTAATAGTGAATTTATAGTCCACCAATTGGTTAATCGTTGTTGGCCACAACAGGAAATTGGAACCACAAAAGTTATGCCACCCTCAGGTGGTACTGACAAGTTAAATATTTGGTCTGGGATTTTGGTGGTAAACCACTGTAATCTCCGCTCCTTTAAGGGAGGAATAGCAAAACTGCGGGAACTCTCTCCCGAAACCCGCGTATGGCTAGCAGCGCTCGACATTGGCATTTAGCTCCTGAACACATTACCAAACGCAAGACCAAAAAAAACACTGGTCGAGGACCTTGGTTTGAATCCAGGCAGCTACTGATGATGAAAGTCATGTTATCACGTGGAGCAAGTTGATGGTTTTAGCCCAGTCACCAATGACTACACAAAAAGACAAACATTACATTTGGTTTTGAACCTAATTTGGCTAAACTCTGGCTCTGAGAACGTAATAATTTTCATTTGACTAACAGGAAAATGGTATCATGGCGCTTGTGAGATAGATACTTTTGAAAGGGTAAAAAGTCCACTTGAAATTCCAGAAATAGCTTTTCATATCAGGTATGTTATCGAAATTCAGTGGTGAAAAATATGACTGATTCTTGAACAAAATCTTGACCCTGAATTGTGACAATTCATATTGCCCGGTGGGTGAGAGGAATTGTTATTACAACAAAACCAATACAACTATTAAAGTAGAAAGGCAATTAAAACAACAGTTGGAAGATAATCTGGATGAGGAAACATATCAAACTGGCAGAACTAGATGCTGTGCAGAGCCTGCGTCGTGGTTTAATGATAGATGTCCTTAATCCATGCTCTAAACTCTAAAGTAACAGGATTTGTTGTTACATTCTGGTCCTGTGATTGGACAATAGACCTGGATAGATTTAACACAGGGCAGATTTGGCAGAGCAGATGTGAGGGGCTGGGTCTGGATTGGCAAGGAGGATTGGAAGGACTTTCATTTCAGATGTATATTTGTGATACAGTTTTTTGCACATTTGTGTTAACAGTTTTGGTCGGGTAAGTTACAATCATTCCCAGTCCTATGAGATTAGAATCTAAACCAATCTTGGAAAGATACTGTACGATCTTATCCGTATAAATATGAGGAAGGTAGGTAGTCACGTAGGTAGAAAAAATAATGTCAGGACGTTTCGATCTCCACACAAGCAATCGTCTTGATCTATTATTTTTCTACCAACGTCACTTTACCGAAAGAACCAAAGAGTATGGATTCCTGCAGTCACGAAAGCTTCAAATCAAGATTGAGGAGTTACATTATTGTAACAACTTTAGAACTGTGGCATTAATCATAGACATTTCAATTATATGTATTTTATCAAACATCAGAAAATCCATGCCAACATCAGTTACGCATACTTTGTTGAATGCCTTCAATTTGATAAATGCTTTTAAAATAAGTATAGAATATATTCCCAAATCTTCTTTCCCTGTTTTGTGGCATCTTGAGAACTGATTCAGTGTGAGGTAAACGTATGACCAACACAGTATTCTGTAAATATGGAGCATACTAGTACTGTACGTAACTTTTTATTATTATTATTATCAGTTATGCTGTACAGCTCTACGATGTGTTTTCAGGTTGTGCCGTATTTTGTTCAGCATGATGTCTGACGTTTCGCTTCATGTCCAGGAACTGGTTAGAGCAGCTCACGTCCCCCCTTGTAAAATGTTACAGTGGACAGTTCAGCCAGCGATGACCTCTTGCCACGGCAGCTCTCTCGTCCACTTCAGCAATTTTTCTTGCTGTGGTTGTCACACCTGATGACTATTGCTCGTGTTGCAATCGAAACGTCGTGATTTGCTTCAATTTTATTTTATTTGTAACTACGTGACTTTACCGAAATAACCAAAGAGTATACATCAAATAGAAGTGGTTTTAGAGACGTATTCTTATATACTCGGCATTCATGAGAACTGAATATTTAAGTTACGGTATTAGTGAAATATATATTTTTAATCAGCATATCAATTATTATGTCAATTAGAATAGTACTTTTTAGACAACTTCGTAGGTTAGAAGGCCACAATGCTTCGCTTGCTGTGCTCTTGACATGTCGTTCAATTATATTATTTAGCTACATACCTTCGATGTATACAGTATTTGGAGACATCGTGGTGCAACACAGAGGGCTTGTTGGGCTATTTTTGACGGCTCAGTATAACCACCGATAGGTATTAACTTCTGACGGAAGCAAAAATCAGCTTTTGTCAATCCAAAGAGGTAAAGTGGCTTACCGTAATCTCTCGGGTCCTTAGGACAACCCAGAAACATCGTAGGAGCAATGTTAAAGCGCACCTTTTGTAGGTCATATTTGTCATCAAGCAAAATGTCTACAACATTGTTTCAGAGAGAAAAATTAGATTTGACAATGGTAGACAGAATATTTGTAAATATCGACCAAACGTTGAAGAGTCACCACGCATTCAATGTATTAGCGCAGATGCTGAAGCTAAACTATGAAAACAAAAAAACACACGTAGACAACAACAGAGCTACATTTTCTTTTGAAAATATTTCATGGAGTTTATATTTTGTACTTTTGTTGCAACCCATTAATTATTCCATCTAATTAGGTAATTGATGAGTGGATTGATAGAGATCAAGGGGATTACAGTTATCTCCTTCAAATAGTCACGGAAGCAGGGAGAGGGCATTCTCGAAGATGAGCCATGCACAAAGCCTGCACTGAACTGCTGGGTGCGGGATGGTAAAGAATTACTCTTCATGAACAGGTGATCACGAGGTATGTAAGGTTTTCATTTGTGTAAACTGTGTTCATTAAGTCGCAGTTTGTAATTGAGAAAATGATCTATGTTTTGAATAACTATTGTGCGCATGAATATTAATTGTGGACAATTTTCACGCTTGTTTTCTCTCAGATTGGTTCACAAATATCTTCTGGAACAATACATTTATCATGGAAGAAAGAACAGATAAAGATATTGCACAGATGGAGGTGGAACAACTTAACATTGAGGTTAAGCTTGAGCGGCTCCTGGTAATAAACCTTTGCTACCTTTTATTTGTCGAATGAAAAGGCTCTGCTTGGCAATGAAATAACGCTAACATGCCCGTATTGCTTATTTTCAACATAGGTGTCCAAAGCAGCTGAAGATATAAAGGAATATGTGGACGCAAATGCTGCAGAAGACCCTCTTATTAAAGGTGTCCCTGAAGACAAGAATCCATTTAAAGAAAAGGGTGGTTGTATTATCTCTTAGCGTAACGTTTTAAGTCAATATCTAATTGGCGCATTGTTTACGTGATAAACCTTACTGGCTGTGTCAGATGGTGGAGGGTTACGAAACATTTCTACTTACACGATCTAACCCAAAAACCTTTATTATAAATCAATATCATTGGTTGCTTTTTATTATGAAATCCATAAATGACTCGAAGCTGTGTTCTTCAATCTGGACATTATTTGCATGAAATTATCAGTTATTAAATGGTTTATCACCTTAAACATTTATTTTTATTTTTTAGTAGCACCTGTGCTGGTGTGATAAAAAAGTAACAAAGCAGGACTAGGTTGTAATCTTAATGAAACAATGAATAAATCGTTGATGCTGTAGTTAGAGTACATCATTCTCAAAACGGTCACAACTTCAAATCAACCCATGCCTGCGGTCATTCAGATTAGTTTCACTTTGTGGATAGTCTGCATGTGATTAATTTTATCGAGGAGACTTAACCCCACCTTGATAACGTTATATTTCCATCATTGACGCAGAGCCACTGACAGAGATGACTAGTGCCTCATTGCTCATTTGAGCAATGAGGCACTTTGGACAACATTTAATGAGGGGTTAAATATCTAGAATATCTCCTCGTATCTAAACAGTATTTATCGTCCATCTGATAGAAATTTCCGGTAAGTAAAAACTGAACGAAAAAAAATGATCAAGATATCAGGAATTAATACATGTTTCAGCCCAAAAGCTTTTCCCCATTCCTGTAGTCTTATAGAAAGCTAATGGTGGATGGGGATAGCCAACCTTGAAGAGCACCAGCACTATTGCAGACTTATAGCGCATTAAAAAATGTAAAATACCAGTAGCCAACTGAATAAAATGCATTTGATGTTTTCTCAATCCCACTTTAAATGGCAAAGAGGTGTTTTATGCAACTGACCATGGTCCTATCATAATAGAATTATAAAAGTTAATCCTGTTTGCCAAAATATATTACTATCTTCCCAGTAGATTAAAATATATATTTTAAAAAAATTACATTATTCGTTGTACTCTTTGGTTCTTTTGGTAAAGTCACGTAGAAAGAAAAATAAATAATAATATAATACGACGTTTCGATTGCAAGACAAGCAACCATCATCAGGTACAAATGAATGAGAAAACAAACCTAGTAAACTTGGAAATACAATGCAATACAACACAGAGAGTCGGCCAACACAACAGTCAACACCCCCACCTGGTTGATTACGTTCTTCCAAAGATTGCTAAATTTGAGAGAGAGACAAAACATAGACACGGAGACACACAGACAGACACACAAGCAGACAGAGACACAGAGACAGAGACACACACATAGGCACACATGTGTGTGTCTCACTCTGCTTGTGTGTCTCATTCATTTGTACCTGATGATGGTTGCTTGTGTTGCAATCGAAACGTCGTATTCTATTAATATTTTATTTATTTCTACGTGACTTTACCGAAAGAACCAAAGAGTAATTGCTGCAGTCACGAAAACTTCGAAAGCACTTTTATTATTCGTTGTCTTTATACATATGCAAAGTACTGTGCATGAAATAGCTTTAAATTAGTAGGCAGTGCTATGATATCACACTGTGCTGTGATTCCAGCAATCTGAATTTAATTATTGAACGCCAGTGATGTTTACTACCGTATATCTAACTGTCTTGGGCTTCCAATAGGTTTACTCAGCCTAAAATGAGTATCGCATGTGGTGTGTTAGCATCAGAAAACAAGGAGACAAACGTGGCCAAAAGTGGTGCTGGCCACATTGTTCCTTTGTGCGGAGAGGATATGTTTTCGGTTGATTAGAAAAAAAAGTATTTAAATTCTTTAGTAACATAATTATGGCATACAAAGGTGCACAATGCTGTATTTTGACAACTTAAAATTGCCAATAAAGTATCTGAAGTCTGACAAACCTGTCAGTAATGGTGTCTGGTTTTTTTTTATTGTGGCACATCTTACGTCAGTTAAAATCATACGACTGTACTGACAATCATTGTATGTACGTTGACACGTGGTGCTTTTCTATCAACCCATGTGTCTTCACGGATTCAGTTTGTGTATTTCCTTGTGCTGAGGCAAAGCATAGCAATCACTTACACGTCATCGCTATAATGGCAGTTTGGTAAATAATTCAAGCCACTATGTACGAGCAACTATTTGAATCCAGCAGAAATTCAATAATTTGCGGTGATATGGGGGGGATAGCAGAACCTGTCACCTGCGGCACAGCATATTAGACCAAATAAATCGGCGGACATTCATTATTATCAGCGACGTGGCTTACAGCGAGTTACAGGAGGAATTCGCCATGCGATTCCATTAATGTACAGATATACTGTTTATGTTTACATATTATGCAATGTAAATGGATGGTGTAGCTGCTGTTCATGTGCATGGCAACTGCTCTGTACAGTGAACCCACGTGATCTTTAGTTTACTTCATCGTCGTCTCTGTAAAGTGCCCGTGTCCAGCGTTTAAAAAAATGGGTATCCTAAAAATATCAGAAGAAAAACATTGTGCTATCTTTCATGTTAGTTTCCACAAAAAAAAGCTATGGTTATTTTGTTAATTTTACAAGAACTTTCCCTTGCATTGCGATTTTTCATATGGAAACATGTGCTTCTATTATATCATACCAAGTGAAGTATATTTTCAAGGTGTATACATCACTGAGACACGTAAGAATACGTACTTTTGAGTATTTTGGAAATTGTCAGAGGCAAACTAAAATAATAAGTTGCAAAATATCTTCCTACATTCCCAAACATAAAACGTACACAAAAAACAACCCATACATGGTATTTGTTTTACATAGGTTTAATGGTGCGCTTGTTACATAAGAGGCCACACAAAGCTATTGCATTCAAATACGTAATAGCATTTGTTTGATCATGAAACCAACAGCGAAGGTGTTTGCTTGTACTTCTAGATGTGAATATTGACGTTTTAATAATGATGCAATATTTACAAATACTGTAGTATGATTTTATTTGGTTTAACACGTAGGCTTTCGCGACCAATATCATCCATAACACAGGTTTTTTGGGGGGCGTAGATCGTGTAAATATATAAATGTGTTGTTGAACCCGCCACCACCCAACACGGTCAATTAGTAGGGTTTGTCACGTAAACAGAACATGCCAATTTGTAAATGGTGTGGCTTTTCTTTCCAACACATCGATGTGCTGTACCGGTAACGAATTGACATGTTCTGTTTACATGGCAAACCTTACTAATTGGCTGTGTTGGGTGGTGGCAGGTTCAACGACGCATTTATATATTTACGCGATCTAACCCAAAAACAAACCTGTATTATGGGTGATTTTATATATAAAGAATTGAGTACAGTAAAGTCACGTAGTTAGAAATAAAATAACTACGTGACTTTACCGAAAGAACCAAAGAGTATGGATTTCTGCAGTCACGAAAGCTTCAAATCGAAATTAAGTACAGTACAAGCAAATATAAATTGAATTCCCGTTTCTTCCACCATTTGTTTGGGGCGGGGGGAGGTGGGAGGTGCCCCTTTTGGTTTAAGCTATGGGGGCCGTCCATAAATGACGTCACGCGATTTTGGACGATTTTTGACCCCCCCCCCCTTCATCACACGGCGTCACAAAAAGTCAGACCCCCCCCCCAAATATGACGTCACAAAGCCCTGCCCCCCCCCCCCACAAAAATAAAACATGCTTCAAATCGCTTTAAACTATTGTCATTGTAGTGCGTATTTAATGTGGCGCTGCACTCTGATGTTGTAGGAGAAAACATTTATTAAAAAAGTCTATTTCATTAAGTAGAACGTGTCTATATTTATTTAAAGTTGCGCATTTTGATGTGACGTCCCATTTCTCACCCCCCCCCCCTCCTCGTCACACATCGTCACAAATGTCTGACCCCTCCCCCTCCCCTAGGTGCGTGACGTCATTTATGGACGGCCCCATAGGCCCCGTCATTCATAACTGCAATCAAATGTATGGAACTCCTGTATGGTATTTTGTACATCTTGTTGATTTGACTCATACATTAGCCAACGTCACCCTTTATCTCAATCTCAAACATGTGCAATAATTAATGGTTAGAGAATAGCCCGCATAAGCAGGTACCACTTAAATACCTCAGATATCCGCCCAGTAACCTTCTAGACCACAAAGTAGGGGGCAGTACTTTCCCACTCTGCCACTGACAGTAATTTTACTTCGCATGACAGTCAAACAAATGTTTCACTCTCAGAGCTGGAATTAGCAAAATTAAGTGCCGAACCATGATGAGTGTTTTTTTTTGTGTGCAGTGATTGGTGATTGGAATGAGACCATCAACTCGATGTGGCTGCCTGAATTTAAACCCAGAAGCTCAGCAATGGCAGCCCAGTGCTTTGACCCCTAAGTCACCCGGCCACCTCAGATGTAAATGGCCGATAATAATTACAAAAGGCCTCTTTGAGACGATGTATATCATATACTCCAACTGGGCCCAGATCTACTTGCTTACTCTTTGGTTCTTTCCGAAAGAACCAAATAGTATGTATGGATTCCTGCAGTCACGATAGCTTCAAATCAAGATCTACTCGCTTAGTTTAACGTGACTTTTACCATTCTGACATAATACCAACAGGCCTCATAATCATACTGAATTATGTTTTTTTCATACTCTGATATCATTAAGCATGATACGCATTTTGTTGCATATTTGTGATATACATTTTCAGGTTACGCTGGTCAAATTAAAAAGAAAACGCCCAACATACAACATGCATTTTCAATTATAAACGCATTATTGTAATCTATTTTTAATCCCTATCGTCCCCGTGTAAGTATTTAGTATTCATAATTTAACCAGTCGTGTGTGTTTTTTTTGCCCTGAGCCTGGCCCCATGGAGGGGAGGGGAGATGTGGAGGGAAGGAAGCTGCCAAGTCACATGATTGCACAGTGGTTGGGCCTGCCTCAAGAGCCCTGGCGTTGTTACCATTGTGGTGTCCTGCAACAGAAAGGAGTCCTGATTTAGTATTTTCAAACAACAATATTTGTTTCTATAGCCGGTGTGGAGGTGCTATGTTATGATTTACATAGAAGACCGCTCGGTAAGTTTGCTCTGGGATGGGATTAGCTTTGGGCAGTATGCACCACACTCAGTCCTCATCGCTATTTTAAGTTTAGAGAAAAACGACGCATTAAAATACTTGTGCACGATTACATTTTTTTCATTTAATGTAATCACTTTTTTTCATTGCTCAGTTACCAAAAAAAAATCCACAAAGCTTGTTTATTTCTTTCTTTGCGAGGGTGGAACTTGATAAAGAAAATACATTTTCAACAAATTACAATACTGTACTATGTAACGAATTGACCATTCGGAATACTAACTTGCCTAATTAACATTTATTTACTGAATACCGCCATATAATTTGTTTCAATTTATGATACAAACAGTCCTATGTTTTTATACAGTTTTATGGCATTTTTACGATGGAATGTTGTTGGCAGACACGGGTAGCTTTATTCTACAGTGCAGTACTAGGAATGAAAATGCCTTTCACGTGTAGTGGCTTAAGTCTGTGCATTGGCGAGAGTCATAAAATGTTTTTTTTAATATATATCGGGTTTTACTTGTCCAGAACATTTTCTGCTGAAACATGCCGCACAGCAAACAGCTGATATGCACCGATGTG